TATACTCTGCATTTGAGTGTATGTGATTATGTGTGTATTGGTATGATTTGTGGTTCTTTGGCTAAGGTGTTGATGCGTTAGCTGCGCCTGTCCTTATGTCCTATTTTGTATTCGGCTATGGGACGAGCACGTCTGGCACAGAGTACCCTGGCGCAGATTAAGAGTGTAGTTATATGTGCGTGAGCGTTGATTCGCGTGTGTCTGGGCTTTGTACGTGTGCGTGTCTGTCTGTACGCGTACATGTGTTCCGTTACCGAGTTCTGCCACCTCATACCACTGTGCGGGTTGGCTGCTGTCACGGTGCTCTCTTTGTTGCACCGCTGGGTGGGACATGCGCTGATCTCCACGGATTGTTCTAGTTTAAACCCTAAAACCCTAAAACATAGTACTATCGTGTCGCACGTTAGACTGTGCGGGAATTCAGGAAATCTGTGAACTTGGAGTCACTTATTTATTATCACTCTATTGATTGCCCCTGGCGAGTAGCATTTGCCTGAGTATTGGTGTCTCGACAAACCTTCCACTCTGCAACAAACTGAGTGCCAAAAATCCCTACTACTCTTATATAGTTTAAGATAGAGTTTAGGGTTTAACCCGAGTGCTCATCTGTATTCTGCAGGACATCAAGAAACCCCTGAAAATCAAATGGGTGGGCAGTGGCGAGGAGGGTCTGGACATGGGGGGTGTGCAGAAAGAGTTCTTCCAGTCGGTGTTTGAGAATATATTCAATGTGGGTGTGGGGATGTTTACCTACTGCGAGGAGACGCGGCTGTTCTGGTTCAATGCGAACTCGCTGGAGAGCAGCAAAGAATACGAAATGGTTGGCCTTTTATTGGGTCTGGCGATATACAACGGGGTGATACTGGATGTCAAGCTGCCGCTGGTTCTGTATAAGAAGCTCATGGGAAGGTTCGTATTTCAACGCTTTTATCTCTTCCTCCTCAACATTGTGTGTGTGTGCGTGTGTGTCACGTTGCAGTTAGTGATTGGTTTCAAACACCGTGACAGGGTCAGTCTAAAGAATCTGATTGGCCTATCAAACATTGGCCGAGAGTGTGAGTCACGCGCCAATGCTGTCAAGCGTATGTCCGGTGTGCACTGTTCTGTTCTGTTGTTGCTTTATCGAGATGACAGCAAACGTATGCCTTTGATGCCAAACGTATCTTGGAACTTCTCCGATACTGGGGACAATGCTAATTGATCAAGTATGAAAATGGCATCCCATATTCACATAAACATAATGTATCTGCTAATCGATCAAGTATGGATAAAATATATAAACCCTAAACCCTGTGTGTAGTGTAGTACTACGCCTTATTAACCTCAATATATATATATATATATATATATCTTATCATCACCCCTTAGGGATGCGACATTAGTTGATCTGAAGGGGCTGTCGCCGACATTGGCCAAATCTATGGATGTGCTCTTGGAGTGGGATGGCGCCCAGGGGGACTTGGAGGATATCTTCTGCTACAATTTCCAAACCATGCAAGATGTGGTATGTTAAATGCATGTATATATACAGGTATATGTACAAAT